CTTCTCATGCCCTTCAAATGGGAGCCCATTAGAGGGATACCTAATCCAGTGAGAGCATAGAAGGAAAACTTCTCAGATGACTAAGTCTGAAGCTGACACTGAAGGAACAGTATGTGTCCAAAGGAAGAAATGGGAAAAAGTAAGGAAACAGAAGCAAATCTGGGGGAGATCTCCAAGCAGAAAGATGAAAAAATGCTAATGTACATTGATTATTAGGTGTTCCTCTGTATGTTTTCTACTGAGAGTCCTGAGCCACACAGCTCTGACAGCTTATGGGCACATAGAGAGAAACCCTGCTGACAAAGAAGCCTCGTTATCAGTGTCGCTGAGTTGCTATCGGTTTCAGCTGCTGCTAACAATGTTTTTAATTCTAATTTCCTTTTAGATTACCTTTCTCATGATCGATTTAGTTTGTCTTGGATGGTATTTTTTATCCAATATTGTGTATGACTACTTTCATTGGTAATATTTTTAGTCTCTATTTTTCTAGTAACTACTCTGAAGCATGTGTACCTTATAATTCAGAAATACATCTTTGGCCTCTTAACAGTCTTGTCTCACTATGACTGCTAATATAACTTAATAAACTAACATGGGAATGTCTAAGTAATGATTTGCCTTGCCTTTGTTGACAAAATATAAAATAAAAGTGTAAAAAATATAAACTATTTTATGTAATACATAAAGATATAAAATATATAAAATATCTATTTTTAAAATTCTTGAGGACTCTTGATTTGGGACAGAAGGGAGAGGAGTTGGAGGGGAAAGAAGATGGTATTATGAGTAGACAGGAATTAGAGATGTAAGCTCTAAAGGCACAACTGAATCTAAAACTCTTATGTAGGGCATGATATTAGTTACCTATTGCTGTGTAACAAACTACAAGACTCAGTGACTTAAAATAACAAACATTTATTCTCTGTCTGTGGATCAGGAACCAGATAAGAGTTAAATCAGTCCTCTGCTGTAGGATCTCTCATAAGGCTGTGGTTAAGAAGTTGGTCAGGGCTGTGGTATCATGCAAAGGCTCAACTGGGAAAGTTTCTGCTCTCAAGCTTACGTGGTTGTTGGCAGGATTTGGGTCCTCCAGCGTTGTTGGACTGAAAGCCTCAGTTCCTTGCTTTCTGTTGCTTGGCAACTGCCTTTAGATGGTTGTCAAATGGGCCTCCTGTATCTTACATGATCAGAGGAATCCCAGAGACAAAGAGACAGAGAGAGTGAAAAAGATGAATGTTACAATCATTTATAAACCAATTTTGAAAGTGATATTCCATCACTTTGCAATAATCTCTTCAGTAAATACAAGTCACAAGGTCCAGCCCACCGTACAGGGGAGAATACACATGAGACTAAAAGCCAGGAGGGGGGGATCATTGAGGGAAAAAGAGAAAAAGCTTATCATGTCATTCTTGTGTTCTATTTCTTAACCATTTTATAGGACAGTGCAAGCACATTGTTGTGTCTAATACGTTCCTGGAGAATTGAATTAATTTGTTGCAGATCTTTATGTCATGACTATGAATTATATTTTATGAAACACACAAGTAATTCAGAATTTTCTGATCTTCCAGAATAACTTTCTAAGTCACAGTGCATGTCAGTGCGAAAAGAATGCAGATCTCTTCTAGGTTAGGAGTAGCTGAGTGAATTCTCATCTGTGGTTTTTAGCTCAAATACAGAGAAGAATATCTCAGTTCTAGCCAATGATGTGTTTCCCCCCATGGAGACTTGAACCTTTGTATTCTAAATTTAGCTCCACAAGTAAATGCTAAATCAAAAGTGTATATCTATCATATCTTTTTTTTTTCCTGAAAGCATAACTTACCACTACCCTCTAAACTTTTGTCATTGTAACCAGATTCTTTTCTCAGTTAATTGGGTTTATTTCTTTTCAATCTACTTAAAAGACCTGTTTGGAGCTTTAGTTATTACACATACTGTTTTGTACTCTTGCTTTGGCTTACTTGTCAAGTCCCATCAAAAATGTAGCTCTCTCAGTTCTTTCTACAATAGGGGCTCAAAAGAAAAAAAAAATACAGGCTTAATTTGGATTTGCTTCCCTTTTCTACATTTACAAGACCATTTTACTTCCCTTCACCCAAAATGCATGAATTCTTTACTACAGGGAATACTTTCTTTTCTTTATCACCTGCAATAAAGTATAGGGCAAAATCCAAGGCAGAAATGAAAAATTAGAACAAAAATTGGAGACAAGAGTTATTTATTTATTTATTTATTTATTTAAGATTTTATATATTTAGTTGACAGAGAGAGCTCACAAGTAGGCAGAGAGGCAGGCAGAAAGAGAGGGGGGAAGAAGCTACCCGCTGAGCAGAGAGCCCAAGGCAGTGTTCAATCCCAGGACCCAGAGATCATGACTAGAGCCAAAGACAGAGGCTTAACCCATTGAGCCACCCAGGCGCCCTATTATTTTGTTTTATCTTGCTTATATTAAGGAATGGATCTACAAACCTTGGACACATGTAAGCCAACATCAGAACATACCTATCCCTTTTTTGCAGTTTGAAAAGAGTAAAAATGGCTTTACTTTTCGCTAAGAGTAAGTTTGCGGTCTTCTGTGCTAGGACCTGATGAAAAGGATGTGTTCCCTTGGACTGTTTTCTTTGAGAGAAAGAAGAAACCCATTTTAATACCCCCAAAGACTTAGGGTAAAAGAAATGGTATCACTAAGCAAAAAAATGAATTAACTGAATGCTGTACAAACCCCAAAGAGCATTTTCCCAGTTGAAGAGGGTACAGTACCAATTATACTATTATCTCACCCTACTCTCTGGGTGAATAGTCTGAAAGCCTAAAATTACAGTTGATGTTAGATTTCTTGGCTTCATTTGCAAATTGGAGTCATTTTCTTTTTTGTGAATGCCATAAACACATGTTATATTGTTTAAGAGAGAGCAGTCCTTAGTTTGTTATGATATTTTTCTCCTTTTTGTCCTCCGTGTCAAAGGACCTTTATTATTTTTTTTCTTAATTTGTCTTGTTGCAAATTGATGTAACACTCTGTTTCTGAATGATTTGCAACGGCCTGAAGTACCATTTGAGCAGAGGCTTTTTGGCATGTCATCTGTTAGGAGGCGAGTTCTAGAGAAGGTCCTTCAACTGGCCAGATGTGTCAGATTGAGGGACTGCCAAAACACCATTTGTTGCCAGTTCCGGATATGGTTGGGGTGCTCACCACTCTGTTACCATATTTTTGCATGTCTCAACATTGCATAAATAGGCAGCTGTTCTGTATTTAGAATATAAATGAGTCACCAGCATGCTTTCCCAGGAGGATTTACCTGAAAAGGGAACCACAGGGTTAACCCCTTCCCATCCCCCTGCCTGAATATCACATTTAAATGCACACTTCTCTGAGCCTATTCAGAAGCAAATCCTTATGCATATAAATCACACCTCTCTTGCCAGTGAGACAACAGAACCAAAAAATGTGCAGTTCACCGTGCTAAAATGGAACACATTTCCTTAGCAGCAAAAGCAGTAAATTAATCAGCTTATAAACTGGGAGTGAGCAATTTGTGCTGAATTCTTTCTTACTGTTCCTTCAATAGGAGAAGAGGTTCTCTAATCTTGTAAAGGCCATGACTTCATTAAGATGGAAACCCCTGTTAAAGGATGTGTTGCAAGAGACAAGAGAAGAAGAGCCCTAAAAGTCCTCGGTTGTCTCTCTGGAGCTATTTTCAGGCCAGGGAATTTTTATTTATTTGGAGAATTAGATTAACCTAGAGACTTTGCCCAACAAAGGAGCAGAGTGTGGAAGTAGGTCTCATTATAGGACACTAAAGGCAGTTGGTGTGTGACCCAATCCAGCTTGACCAATTTATGGATAGACATAGATATAAGACACTGTATGTGCCTATGTTTGTCTGTGTGTGTGTGTGTGTGTGTGCGCGCGCATATGTGTGTTTTCCCTTCAATACGCTTAGGAAATAAAGTTGTCAGTGTTGGAATACAAAGGAATGGGAAAGTCAAGGTGGTTAGAAAAAGCAGAGGCAGTTGAAGTATATGGTATAGGTCCCATCTAAACTACTTTTTTGAAGGTTTCCCCTAACATAGTTTATTTGCTAAGGAAATCCAGCTTTCTGCAATCTGATAGGGCCAAGTCATTTCTCCGGGCTTTTCATCTTGCCAGCCAAAGAAAAGCACACACAGATAGATAGGTGACATTTGGAGAGCCAGGCATGCCAGATTTTCGGAGGTTACAATGGAGGTCCAACCTGCTGTTCTCCTAATGAAAGGAGGGGAAATTCAGAGTCGCCAAACTGCTATAAGGGATATCTCTGCTCTGAATGTCACGCTGCCCAGATGTCGCTTGGCAGGTGGAGATGCACAGAGAATGAAAATGTAGCCCTGTGTATGTGGGTGCTAGTGCGTTGCAGGGTGAACAATGAGTCCATCTTCTGAAGTGTAAAGAAAACAGTGTGGATCTTGTCTCTATTCATGTCACGAGAAAGGGCATTCTCAAAAAGTGTTCACCCTATTTCCTCTCCCAGACTGACACGCATACATGCTCACAGACCACGCACGCATGACTTGTTTTGGGGTTTTAAGTATAACTTGACGATTTAGTGTCTTTATAGATATGTATGTACATATGCTTTTTCTTTACAGGAAATCGAGTCTTGCTGCATAAACAATTTTGTATCTTGAGTATTAAATCTCAAAACTGTATCATGAGTCTTTCTTATTTTCCTTAGACTTTTCTTATATTTTAAATCAGATTTTGTAGCAAAGATGCATGATCCTACAGTCAGCCATTTCCCTGTTGAACATTTAGGCTGGCTCTAGAATGTTTTAAGAGGGGCACGGCTATGTTTCTTAGGAAATATTTAATTATGATTAGAACAAAGTAAAACCCGAAGTATGAAGTTACCTTTTGCGAGAGAAAGCTACAGTTACTGATTGTAACTGTTGATGTACTTATCAACAATGATGTACTCATTGAGTTTTTTTTCACTACCATTGTTTTTCTTTAGTGTTACGAGATGACTTCCGGCAAAATCCCACAGATGTTGTAGTAGCAGCTGGAGAGCCTGCCATCTTGGAGTGCCAACCTCCCAGGGGACACCCAGAACCCACCATTTACTGGAAGAAAGACAAAGTTCGAATTGATGACAAGGAAGAAAGAATAAGTGTGAGTTAAATTAAAATTAACGCCTACAGAGATTGACTATCAAGTATTCAAATGGATATATTTTATTGCTAATAAAATTGTAGACCTGCACTGAATGCTAATTACCACTTACACTGCGTTGAAAGGACTGAAAAAGAATAACCGAGAACTGAAACTTTAGGATGAGGCTTCAAAGAGACACAAATTATAGAAATCAAGTGTAGATGATATATTAATAATTGTACCAATCTGAATATGAAAAGATATGAATATGTAAATATATATGAATGTGGAAATGCATGTATATATATCTTTGCAGTACAAAGATGACAAAGCTCTTAACATCTCAAATGCATCTTTTGATCATGTAGTATCATGTAAGTGATAAAGGGTAAATGGTGGCCCTAAGCCATATTAACTAGAACATTTCTTTTGGCACTATTTTCAAAATTATAAGAGAAAGCAATGTGAGGTAATGGGTACTTCAAGCACCTTTTCCAGTTTTCAGATTTAATATTTATAACTAAAATTTTATACTTGAATTCATTTAAAAGTTTAAGAGGTATAAAGTAAAATCCAAATAAACATGGCTTTTTTGGTTCTGCCATTTAGCTCTTGTAGAACAATAGTCTGCTTTCAAGGAAAATTGATGATTACGTTCATCACTTGATTAATATCAAAATGAGACCCTCAGAACATTGTAAAGAGATAGCGAAGGGGAATGGCATATTATTTTATATTTTTAGATGACCCACTCAACCTTTGTTTGTGATGCTTATGGGAACCAGTTCACTGAAATAGTAGATAATGCTTCAACGTTTGGATGCTAGTCTTAATATAATTTTTATATTTAGTGCAATTATTGAGAATAAATGTATTTTACTTAAAATAGTGTCTTCTTTAACTGAACGAATGTTCCATTTTTATAAAAAGTCCGTGTAGACTGGTATCTATAATCTTTAAAAGTATCTTATAAATGAAGTTTTTTTTTAATATTTGCATCATGGTTATATCATAACATAGAACCAGATAGGTGATGTAAGAGATCACAACATATATTCATGTGATTCTGGCTTGAACTCTTGACACCATGAGGATCCACATTGCCAGGGAGAATTTGGTTCTCAGTGGTCTGTGCTTGGATACCAAGCATGAAAATATGCTCCTGGTGATAGAGTAAAATCACTGTTGAAGGGGTTCTAGTTCATGTTTGCATCATTTAATTTTCGCTTTATAAGAAACCACCACAAAATACAGCAACTTATAATAACCATTTTATTTAGACTATGATTCTGTGGATAAGATGACAATTCTTTATTCTGGGCCAGCTTGGCTGATCTCAGCTTGGTTTTCTCATGCTTCTGTGGCCTCGTTAAAAGACGTGCTGGCAGCTGGATGATCTAGGGTAACCTTACATGTCTGGCCATTGACTTATATTCCCCTGGGCATCTTGGTTCTTCTCATGGCCTCTAATTTTCGAGCAGGCCAGATCAGACTGGTTCCCATCATGGTCTCAGGATTCCAGCTATAGCAAGGAAAGACAAGTCTCAATTTGAGAACACTTTTCGTCTACTGAAACATTGCTTTAGTTTCATTGGTCAATTCAAGTCATATTGCCAAACTCAGCTTCAGGGGGAGGAAAAATGGCCTCCATGGCCATTTTTATAATGCAAAATTTATTATACTCCACTGAACATAATTAAGTTGACAGTCTTTCTTCCCATGTAAAAATAATATTGAAGTCCCTTTCTGTGACATTACAAGTATCAGAGCATGAAATATATCCATTGAAAACATACCTACATGGGTTTAGTTTGCCTGTGAGATAAAAGTTAACAGAAGAAACCAGCATGTTCTTCTCTCCTCTTGAAGAATATTCAGTCATTGTGATGTTAAGATTGTCAAATTGCATAAATACAAAGAAAAAAAGTTGGAAAAGAAGCCATGAGATGATACACATACTGAAAATCTAATTTTGCTTCAATATCCTCTTTAAGAAATAGACATTTTAACATATGACATTGGTTTATTTGGTCAATAAATGCTTCTCATTTAGGAAACAATTAGGAAGCACCTATCAGAAGTCAATGATTTATACCAACTCATACTCTCATCATTTAAAAATATATGTATTTATTTTTATCCAACCTGCCCTCCTCTTCAGAAATTATCTCATACATACCATCAAGGTAAGACATAGATAATTAATGCGAACAATTGAAATTTAAGCTCCATGAAGGCAGAGGTTTATTATTATTTGGTTTACCCCTGAATCTCAAGCATTTAGAACACTGCCCAGCCCATAGAGGTAGTCAATAAATGGCTTGTTGAATCCCTTGGTGTCTGTTGGATTTCATTATATTACCAAAAGCGGTTATGTAGTGCTTCTTTCTGATAACAAATATCAATAGCCATTCATTCCACCTACTTCAGAGTAAAGACCAACCATTAGGATTTGGTAGAAGCATTCACAAAAAATAGGACCAGACCCAGACAAAAAAGAAAAAGGAGGCCCAAAAGCATTTTCTAGAAAGGGAATATGAAGGCTTATCTTGAGGGAGAAATAAAGAGAAGAAAAAAATGCACGCAGGTTCCAAAGTAGGGAGACAGTTTTGTGTCTTAGACACTGAGCTATTTCCTTTAGGAAAAAAATATTCTGCTTAAATATTCAAAATTATTTGTTAGTCACCTTCTCTTTGCTATTTATTTTACTTTCCATTTTCTTTCTCTCTTTTCCTTTATTTTTTTTTTCTTTTCTTTTTTTCCCCTCCCTCTTTTCTCTTTTTTCTTTTCTTTATTTCTTTCTTTTTTTTAATTTTAACAGATCCGTGGTGGAAAACTGATGATCTCCAATACCCGGAAAAGCGATGCAGGGATGTATACCTGTGTTGGCACCAATATGGTGGGAGAAAGAGACAGTGATCCAGCAGAGCTGACTGTCTTTGGTAAAACTCTCTTTCAATTCTAAATTGCTATTTATATATACTTTTCCTTTGATGTTTATTATATTCGTTGATACTAAACACCAGGTTATATAGGGACAGGTACTTATGACATACGGTGGGTAATGAAGGACTAGATTTGCCTTGTTTTCTGGTTCTGTCTTTCCTCAGATGAAATCTTTCATCTGAAGAAAAATAGAACTTTTGAAACAATAATTCATTTACTTTATTCATATACATTTATAGGATTTGCCTTTCATCAGAATGCAAAAACTTGATCTTTCTCAAATTCTGTTTGAGATATTATATCTGTCTAAAATTTATTCACTGTGATGTACTTATCAAGTATCTTTTATGTGCAAGACAGAGGGTACTTTTTTTTGGTTTTCTTCTTTTTTATTAGTGCAGTGCAAACATATTTCACTTGCTTTCTACTTTAAAATTTTTCAAATTGAAATATTTACAGTGTAGATTTGATTTAAAAAAACTAGCTAGCTGCATATGCACACACATACATAAATGCATACATGTAATCAAAATTAGAAAAAAACAAACAAACAAATGAACTGTATTGCTGATGCAGGCGGGCTGGGTCCAAGAACCCAGGGGAAGATCCCACAGGACCAGCCAAGAGGGTCCTTGGCTTCACTCAGGATAGAAATCCAACGTGAGCCAGAGAAAGTGAAAATAAAGTTTATTGTATAATTTGAGTGACAGACAGAAGAGCAGACGAAGTATCTGGGAGACTTGGAAAGAAGAATGAGTTCTGCTGTTGCTGATGGCTAGGGGTTAATATTAGAAAAGAGTATGGGGTAGGGGTGCCTGGGTGGCTCAGTGGGTTAAGCCTCTGCCTTCGGCTGAGGTCATGATCCCAGGGTCCTGGGATCGAGCCCCGCAACAGGCTCTCTGCTCAGCAGGGAGCCTGCCCCTCGACCCCCCTCTCTTTGCCTGCCTCTCTTCCTATTTGTGATCTCTGTCAAATGAATAAATAAAATCTTAAAAAGAAAGAAAGAAAGAAGGAAGGAAAGAAAGAAAGAAAGAAAGAAAGAAAGAGAGAGAGAGAGAGTCTGGGGTATGTGTTCCTCCAGGAGTCCAGGGTAGGGTCAATCACGGGCAAGTACTGGGTGAACAATAGGTGTTACTCCATAAATTACGGAGGGTAGGGGTATTGATGCCAGCATCAGCCTTGCTTAGTTTGAAGCTAACGTCTTGGGACATTTTGGGATCAGGTTTTCTTAGGTGTTAACAGGTGTTTGGGATCCAAGACAAAAACTCAGAGAATGATTGACTTTCTTGCTACCCCCTTGAAGTGGGAACAGAGCTTCTTTTGCAACATAAGGAACATGAGTAAATGGGGCCTCCCAGAAAAACAGCAGAGATGGAAACGTTGTAAAATGGAGTCCCTTCAGCTTCCCTAGTTCATGGCAATTATATTCATGTTTCTTTAGATTTAAGAACCCAGGGACTCTATTGGAGTAACACGATTAATGAACTAAAACTCGATTACATGTGGAGGTGCTTCAGTGGCAACTTGTTGAACGTCAGACTCTTGGTATCAGCTCTAGTCTTGATGGAAGGAGTTGAAGCCCCGCTTTGCGCTCCAGACTGGGCGTGGTACCTCCTTCAGAAAAACAAACAAACAACCCCCACCCCCACATATCTTGATTAGATCTGTATCAGAGAAATTGTGGAGAAAGCACTGGGAAGGAGAGAACAGAGGATTACAAAAATAGCAGAGTAAACAAAGAAGGAAAATACTATAGGGCAGCTGTGGAAAACTGAAAGAGAAATGAAGTGACAGAGAATTAGGAAAATCTTAACATTTCCTAACGATACTAGAAGATGAAACATTCCTTTAGAAGTCATTGAAGTCCCATTTAAGTCTATGTATAAATACACACAAACACACATATATACATATACACACACATACATATGTGTATCTATCTCTATCTTAAAAGATTTAACTATTGTTGATATGTGATTTTTTAAAAAAGACTTATTTATTTATTTACTTACTTACTTACTTTTGAGACAGAGAGCATGAGAATGTGAGCAGGGAGATGGGCAGAGGAAGAGAGAATCTCCAACAGACCAGCAGACTCCCTGCTGAGTGTGGAGCCCAACACGGGGCTCAATCTCATGGCCCTGAGATCATGAACTGAGCAGAAACCAAGAGTCAGATGCCCAACCAACTGAGCCACCCAGGCGCCCCATACTTTGTGATTTTTTTTTTTTTTAACACAACAAATAAGTGTGATTTTTAAATAATTTTTTTGTGCCGGCAAAATAATCTTCTGGTTCTATGAATTATGGTAAGATTTTATTGCTGGTCCTGACTCCAGAGCATGTTTGAAGGTAGCTTCAGAACCCTGCACGCTTTCTGAAAGAAATTTCTTTTGTAGTTTGAGATGTGCCATCCCGTGGTGTAACGGGAGTGCCACGACGCCAAAGAGTCATATTATGATTTCCATCACATTTAGAGTGTTAAGATGTGCTTTGTGAATATGGACTCGAGTGCAATCCTCTCTTTCCAATCACTCTAAGTACCGGGTAATCTCTGGTAATATTCCTTATGGATACTAAGCAGCTTGAAGTCCCAAATGACAGAACCCAGAGAAATCCCATAGTTCATTAAAGGAATTGAGTAGTAAAAATAAAATTCTTCAAAGTATGCACGTAAATTTCTGTCCTGCAGAGCTCAGACAAGTATCAGTTTGCCCTTAAATTTCATGCAGTCAGCCTTAAGAGTCTCAAAATGTGTTTCGCTCCATAATGAATAAAATACAGTTTTGCCTGGTAAGATATGAAATTAGTGGTCTCTGAACATTAGCATTGAAAACCCACAAGTGCAGCTGTTCTATTTAAAGAAACACTCATTACTATTTTTCTGTAACTGCCCACAAGCTTTGGAACAGAAAAATGTTGCATTATAACAGTACATACTGCCTTCAGAAGGAAATTGAAAGAGTTTAATGTCATTACCCAAGCAATCAGCCTTACCAGAACGTGACTGGGTTATGAAATATTCACCCTATGTTCCCTAATGATGGGACAAGAACTACAGGAGATTCTTAAATATGGTGGGACTTACAGTGGAACTTCTAAATTATTTTGAAAATAACTCTAAACCAAAAAGATTGAATTTGTCTAGTGGCTGTACCTCTGGAAGAATTGATTTAAGAAGCTGAGAACATTTATCTGATGGTGTAAACTAGTCAGAACTAACCCAAGGGGTTCTAAGTACAATATTAAGTTGGAGGGAAAAAACTCAAAAATTTCCATTACTGATAAGAAAACAACATATCTAGAAATAAAAGATAAAAATAGTAGTGATTATCCAATTCAAGGACTGACCAGGATTGCATGAGAAAGGTCCCTTCTGTACTTTGCTCGATTCTGAGAGAAAAGAACTAGTGTGCTATGAATAGTGGAGACTTCCTTGTGTCATTTTGGTCCTTTTCTGCCCAGTACATGTTTTCTAATAAACTTATTTACATTTCATCATTGTTAGATATTATTATTTCCGACCTAGGGTTTATCAACCTATAACTGGTTATACTTTACCCCTCCCCCACTCTCAATTTTATTCTCAAATAGCAGTAATTCTCCTTTAAAAAATTTGGCTACTGTAACCCCTCTGTAGCTACAGAAAATTCTTACAGAAAATTAAAATATGTTATACAGAAAAAGTAACCGATAGTATTAATTGTTCAAAAAATATAATTCACTTATAAATGACAAGAAAAACAGCAAAAGGAGCTACAGTAGATCTTGGTTAATACAAAAGCCTTTGGCAAATATTTGGATTTTTCATTTTCAAATTGTTACTCTGCCATTTGCCATGCATCATTTTTTTCTATTCTTTAATATTTGTTGGCCATACTTAACAGCTTAGTTAAGGGGGCAGTACCAAATCTAAAATTAAGAATTAGGCATCACAGTGTTAATGGACACTAAAATCTGAGAGACACTCCAGATGCCTTCATAAAGAATACTCCCTAACACTTTACATATGTTAATTAATTTCTAAATGTCCTGCAGTCAGAGAAACTAGATGCATAATTAAATTTCTAATTATAGGTAAGTTTGGGCTATCTGTTATCCAAAATTTAAGTGTCAGTTAAAAAATAACATTTTTTTAAATGATTTTTATTTATTTATTTTTTAAATATTTTATTTATTTACTTGGGAAGGAGAGGGAGCATGAGGAAGGTGGAGAAGCAGAGGGACAAGCAGACTCCCCACTGAGTGCCAGTCATGAAATCATGACCTGAGCCAAAGTCAGACACTTAACCCACTGAGCCACCCAGGTGCCCTTGAAAAGATGTTTTATTTTTTATTTATTTTTATTTTTTAAAGATTTCTATTTATTTATTTGAGAGAGAAAGAGAGAGAGAGTGTGCACAGAGGAGAGTGAGAGGCAGAAGCTGGCTTTCTGGTGAGTGGAGAGCCTGATGCAGGACTTGATCCCAGAACCCTGAGATCATGACCTGAGCCTCAGGCAGATGCTTAACTGACTGAGCCACCCAGGTGCCTGGTCCCCTAAATGATTTTTAAATGCTTATCAAAGTAATCCATGAAAAAAAGATTTCATATGTTACACTTCTAATAGACATTAGAAGTGTTACTAAACTGAAAATGAAATGCAGAAATGTCTAGCCCTACCCCTCCTTCCAATACACACACACACGCATGCACATATTCCTATTCCTCATCTTTGAGCATTTCTACAAGCCTGTGTTGTCTTTTTCTTCTGAGATTTATTTCCATGTTACTAAATATGTCCTTATTCTGTAGTCTTATGCATTATTTTGACTTCCTATTTGTAAGATGATGGTTTGGCTCACTTATATCCCCTTCCCCACCTTCTCACCTCCACTTTCCCTTCTATCTGTCCTTCCATATATTGACTTTAGAAACATTGGTTGTATTAAGATTCAGAATTTGAGTTATGATAACCATGTAAATATGGACTGAACTTAGTGTTTGCTATTATGATG